ATCCAGAATCTACAACGAACGCAAACAAATCAGGAAGAAAAAAAACAGCTGCATCAAAAACTGGTCTAAGGACATGAATAGACAGTTCTCAAAAGAAGACATACAAATGGCCAACAAACATATGAAAAAATGCTCAACATCACTAATGATCAGGGAAATGCAAATCAAAACCACAGTGCGATACCACCTTACTCCTGCATGATGGCCATAATCAAAAAATTAAAAATATAGTAGATGTTTGTGTGGACGCAGTGATCAGGAAACACTTCTATACTTCTGGTGAGAATGTAAACTAGTACAGCCGCTATGGAAAACAGTGTGGAGATTCCTTAAAGAACTGAAAGTAGAACTACCATTCCCACTACTGGGTATCTACCCAGAGGAAAAGAAGTCATTATTCTAAAAAAATACTTGCACACGTATGTTTATAGCAGCACAATTCACAATTGCAAAATTGTGGAAGCAGCTCAAATGCCCATCAATCAACGAGTGGATAAAGAAACTGTGATATATATATCATCATATATATATCCATCATATATATGTATATGATGGAGTACTACTCAGCCATAAAAAGGAATGAATTAATAGCATTTGGATGAGATTGGAGACTATTATTCTAAGTGAAGCAACTCAGGAATGGAACACCAAACATTGTATGTTCTCACTGATATGTGGGAGCTAAGCTATGAGGACACAAAGGCATAAGAATGATACAGTGGACTTTGGGGACTTGGGGGGAAGAGTGGGAGGGGACAAGGGATAAAAGACAACAAATATGGTGTAGTGTATACTGCTTTGTTAATGGGTGCACCAGGATCTCACAAATCACCAGTAAAGAACTTACTCATGTAACTACCACCTGTACCCCAATAATGTATGGAAAAATAAAATAATAAAATGTTTTTAAAAAAGGGAATGGTATCAAGAGATTAGTGTTGTAACTGCTGACAGTTTTAGCCAGCAGAGTACTTTTAGATGCTGTCTGCATCTGAGAGTCCCAATAAATTCTGTAGTTTTTCTTTCTACCCTCATTTTATTATTTTTTTTTCAAAATATCCTTTTAAACTATTTCTTCTATCTTTTACTAAATATTTGCAAATAATTAAGTTCTTATACACAGTTTCTGGCAGAAAAATCTGTAATCTAAACCATCAGACACAGGTGTTCCCTCATATGTATTGTGACTACAGAATAGAATAGAGTGAAAGATCTTAGCGAGAGCAAGTAGCCATGGGAGATGTAGAGGACATAGAAAAGAGTAACAGTAATTAGAGTTAGACTCCTCTTTATTTTATTTATCAAAATAAAGCATCAGTCCTTCCATTAGCATTACTTGTTATAGATGACGTCCTTTTGATTTTACAAATATTTAATTCTACAAATTGCATTTTCCTAGGACTCCTAACCCCATTAAGAGGCTTTTTATTAACAAGAAGTGATAAGACATACCATCTTAGCAGTCATTTATATATAATATGATGGAAATTATGCCTTTCTAGGGTTGTGCCACATGGTAATACTGTATCTTTTCTAATGCCTGTCTTCTAAAGGAGTTACAAGCTCTGTTTGAATTTAAGAATAATGTTAATAATGCCTTATAATTTTATATTTACAAACCATGATATACATTATTTAATCTTTATAACTACTCTGTAAAGTAAGTACTATGCTCATTTTATGAATGAGAAAGCAGTCTCACAAAATATGAGTAGTGTGCCATAAGTCATATGGAATTAGGTTGAAACCTAGATCTCTGTCACATCCAGTATGTTAATTGTTCATCACCCCACGGGACATTGTCTTGTTGGATTTTAGCTGTGAGTGTATTTGTATGACATAGAGAGTAGATAAGGTGAATAAAATAAATGTTTATAAGCTTAGAATTGGTGACTTTCTCCTATGAAATATTATCAGTTACTTCTCAGGTTGAATGGAAAAGTTTATCTTTGCACATGTCCTGAGAAGATCAGGTAGAAAAAGTGATTCTCTGGAGGTAGGGAGAATGCCTGCTGTAGATAGAAAGATAAAAGTCCTTTTGAATCATAAAGAGTAACATGGGAGAAAAAAAGCAGTCAGGCTTGAGAAAGTAGTTGAGGTGGTCACTGAAGTAGCATGAGATCAGAGATTTTCCCTCTCTACAGAGGTGTTCTTTTACATTTGATATCTTTATACAATCGTAGACACACTAGTTGATTAAACCTTACCCATTGCTACTTATTGTTATAGTTAAAAACCATAAGATTGTTACCCTCCCTTTAAAGTACATGAAATTTAAATGTATTTTATTAACCCCAAAAATTAAGGGTTTAGTTGCCACACAAATGTAGAAACCTGCTATGTAACTGCCACAGGACTATTCTTGGCCCCATTAAGTCTTTATGTACAATCAGTAGGGGATAAAGAACCCTAGTGCTTCTGATGAGTCTAGTCTATAGTGGTTATGTTGTTCCTGTCTGTTTTTACTCTAAGATACTCTAGAAAATCTCATGTAGATAAAATAGTGGTATGTGGGCCTGGAGAATGGGGAAAGAATACAGTATTACAAATAAAAAATGTAGCAATATCAAAGATCATTGATTGTAGAATAGGAGTTCAAATCTCTGCTTTCTCAGTTTTAACTCACACATTGAGCAAAACCCCCTTATCCCTGGTCTAGCATCAGCTTCCTTATTTGTAAAATGGGAATAGTAACAAAATATGCCCTTGTTTCTCATAAACTTATTGTGAGGCTCAGCTGACAAAACGTTTATGAAAGCCTTTGTAAAATGTAAAACATTATACAAATGTAGGGTACTATAACTGTAATTCTGCATTTGGCTTTACTGACAAACATAATCTGCCGCTGGAATTTTAACTATTAAATTACAGGATCATTGAAAACTTAATAAGTGGTGGATTTTAGTAAATTTGAGCTCAAATAGAAACAACTGAATTTAGTAATTTTATTTTGTAATGTTTATTTCAGTGTTTTACATTTTGGTAAACATGTGAGATCATAGGAAGTCCTATTAGATAGCCAATCTCTGTCTCTAGAGGGCACCAAAGGACTCAAATGTTTACCTGAATCTTGCTCTAGGTATGTATCTACATTCTTATTTTATTTTTTTAATCCTCAGAATTTTTATAACCACTTTTTTGCCAAAAGTGCTAAAATACTGTATTTGTGATAGAATTAATTTTAAATTCCAAAGCACCTAATAATAATTAAAACAACCCTTTAAAATACTGGTTATATAACTGCTTTTCTCTTGCCAGCTAGCCTTATTAGAGCTTTAGTTTGATCATTATCTAATCTAATTATTGGAGATACTGCTTTCATAACAAGTATTTGGCTCTAAATAATTTAGTTACTAGAACATTAAATCAACAATCAAATATGTTTATAAAAACCAAGGAATGTAAATCCCCAATTTTGCTTTTATTTTAAATTATATAAAAGAAAATGTAAAGTTTTGATGGTCAGTTACAAGATAGTCATGTGCTGTGCATTTCCTAAATGGTGCATGATGTAACTTGAAAGTCTGTTAGTTCAGTATACGTTATAAATTGCCTGTATAGGGCAAAAATCTAATAGATATATTCTCTACAGTCTAAGATGATGTGTACATTTATGCTGACACTAAACATTACTTATGGTAGATTACACATGTAAAATTAAAGTAGAAGAAACACTTAAATTGTTAATCATATCAGAAATTTGTTTTAATCTTCTGATTTGTTGGCCTCTTAATTACTACATTTAGAGAGAGATATGTAAGAGTGGAGACCAGGTGGCTGCTTGGGCAGGGCCCTCCTTTCTGGGTTGCAGTATTTTGGCCAGACTAATTCTAGAGTCACAGGCCTGGGTTTGAATCCTAGAACCACCACTTACTGGCTTGACATTACACAAGATTTTAAAAAAATATTTCTCTAAGCCTCAGGTTGCTCAACTATAAATTGGGATTAATATTACCACCTGCTTTAGAGAGTCATTTTGAGGATTAAGTGAGATATTGTATATAAAGCATGTAGTTCAGTACCTGATACAAAGAATGTACTCAAAAAACACTAGCTATTATTATTACAAGGTCTTAAGAATTTTTAGAATGTGTGTATCCAGAGACTCGACAATATTGATGTGTTCGAAGGAGGGTACACTGTTTGGGGGCAAATAAGTTTTCACTGGTATTCAAGTTATAGTATGATCTGCCTCTGCTGTAAATTTTTAAGACTGTTTCTAGAGTCCTCTATAATTTCATTTCTATTTTAGTAAGTAGCATTATGTGATTAATTGGATCACAGATAGTTCTTAATATATGGAGTCTGTAAATCACATTTGTTTTGAAATCTAAAAATTGGGTTATAGGAGTGGCTGAATAAATTTTAATATAAAGTTGATTTATCTTGTAGAAGTTTTTTGCTCTAGCAAAAATTTATGTACTGTCTACCATATGGCCATGCATGAATGTAGTGGATTTTTGATAAATATTTATTGATAGTGATGATAATTTATAAATAATTGCTTTATAAGAGTTTTAAGGTTAGGCTATAATTTTAAAATTTTGCTCTGACTACATTTTTGAGAGATAATTGGAGCTTGTTTCCTTTCTGAAGAAAATAAGCTAGAGGAGAATACTCAGTGGCCATCCTAGACAAGCATGGTCCCAAATTTGATGATCTCGAAAAGAGATACTTAAGCCTTTGGAGGTATCATGAGCATGATAGTGACAAAGCTTCAGAATAAATTAGCAAATCTATCGTTATAATTTTCTAATGAACTTTATGGTTACAGTATGATAAATTACCTTTCAAGATTATTTTATGTCAGTTATCCTTATATTTGATACCTGTGTTTCTAGGAAACCAGAGTATCTTGAAAAAATGTAAATGTAAATATTTTAAAATATATCAATTTATTGTGAAGTGTATAGATTGTAATTTTCTTTGTACATGTATTTTATGGTTGTAAATTGATGGAAGTTTTTGCCCTTCTTTATTCTCCTGGTAATCCTATATAGGTTCATGAAGGATTCCTGGAGAGTAAAGTATTTACTTCGAATAGTACCAATTCATCAAATCCATGTGAGAGAAGAAGTGTTGACCTAAGGATATATATGCTTTGCTTTCTTCCATTTATAATTCTTTTGGTCTTCATTCGTGAACTAAAGAAACTATTTCTACTTTCATTCTTTGCCACCGTTTCCATGACTGTCAGTCTTGTGATAATTTACCAGTATGTTGTCAGGGTAAGTATAAAATGTTTTTAACTAAGTTCTTATCTTTCTTATATAAGTAAAATTTTTGTTTACCGTAAAGGTAAAATTAATGATATGTAAAGACCCCTACTTCATATGTGGCACACAGTGTACAATCAGTAGATGCTGGTTTCTTGTAGGGGGATGCTGTTGAGTTAGAAAAGTATATGACATAGAGATTAAACAGGGTTTGTGGTCAGATCTTGAATCTCAGTAAATACACTTCTGGGCTTTGTGACAGTGCTTCAGAAGATAGTAATACCTACTCTATTACAGTTATTTGAGATTTAGGATTGTGTTCTTAGTACAGTGCCAAACGTTGAAAGCAGGTACTCATTAAATGTATTATTCTTTAAAATACTCATTAAATGTATTATTCTTTAAATCTTGTGATTTAAGCCAATCACAAGAGATGCATTATATATGTGTGTGTGTGTGTATATATATATATATGCAGTTCTGTAATTTCCTTTCACTTCTGAACTTTTATTTACTGCCACTGCTTCAATCCACTGCCACTACACTAGGCTGTAATCCCTTTATCTGAAATATATGCAATTACCTCAACTGATTTCATTGTCCATAGTCTGGGGATTCTTAACCCAGTTTCCTTAAAATAATCTATTGTTGAGATTCAGGGATTCTTCAAATTCCTTAAAATAGTTTGCAAGATTTAGTATTTCTGTTTGTATGTATGTGTTTTGCTGTTGAGCAGTTATGTAGCTTTCATCCTGCAAGGGTGCCAAAGACCAAAAAAAGGTTGAGAATCCCTGCTCTAGTCACTCCTGATCTTATTAATCTTACATATTATTTCCAAGGTAATTGTTGTAAAATCTTCTTTAGCAATTTATTAAAAATTCTTACTATGGATCTGTGTTTCATTTCCTTCCTCTTTGAATTTCAAAACCTGTAGTTTCTCTTATAGCACTGAGTGGGAGGAAACAGGAAGTTCCTGTAGGCTTTCTGGAGTTCGTGGCCCCTTAGCTAAACATGTAAGAGTCAGTTAAGCCGAAAAGGAGGTTCCCAAAATAGAAGAAACAGCATGAGCTGCTGTTTGGAGAAGAGAAATAGCATCCTGCTTGCCTTAGATAATAGTTTAGTGTTGAATGAGCCAAACATTGTAATACCCTTTCATTCTAAACCCAGTGTGTATGGTTTTAGTCATGTATCACCATTATATCACACAATTCTATCTATGCTTCAGATGTCCTAGACCTCTCTGTTCCCCAAATTATCCTTGAGCTTTCACACTTCAGTTGCTTTGTTCATCCTTTTTACTTGGCCTTGAATTCTACTTCCAATCAGGCAAAGCAGAGAATGTAAGATGGTGAGGAGAGTAGGGACCAGACTTGGGGTATCTGGAAGAAGTGGCTATTTAGAGCTAATGTGCACTTTGTCCAGATGATGAGAGTTGGAATAAGCCTGTGAGTCAGGACCAAGCAATCAAAGCCAGAGTCAGGACATATATATTCAAACAATAAGGGTAATGACAACCATCAGATCAAATGTAAGCACTGAAACAAGAAGGAAACCTGTTCTAGGCAGCAGCAGAGTTATAAGGTAGAAAGCCAGTATCAGGAGCCAGGCATCTTAGAGAACTGAAAGAGCAATGAAAATAGAGTGGAGAATGAATTTCTATTGGGCACCAGCAGCAGTGGTTGATAACTTGACTGTATGGCTCTCAGCTTAGAACTTGAATGTGCTTATGTATTTCCTGTTGTGGCAGGAGCCACACCTAGTGTGCACAACCTGGGACTTGCAGGTGGAAGCAGGTAGTCAGGAGCATTTTGCTCAGATGGAATGTATGGGCATAAGGGAAACAGTTGCTTTTGGCAGTGAAATCCTAACAGCTTGGCTACATTTAACATAGGGTGCTTTAAGTGTTCATTGAAAAAATTATTCACTTTTATAACACATTTGCTTTGGTAAAGCTCAAAATTACATGATTTTTCTTTCAATTTTAAATTATTTAGGGTAAGTAAAGATGTAACTGGTCTTCTTTTTTTCTTCCTTTCTTTAGAACATGCCAGATCCCCACAACCTTCCAATAGTAGCTGGTTGGAAGAAATACTTACTCTTTTTTGGTACTGCTGTATTTGCTTTTGAAGGCATAGGAGTGGTAAGAATTTAGTTATTATTATTATTTTTTAAAATCTTAATTCAACACAATGATTTATATAGCCTAGCTATATTTAAAATTGCATATTTTTCTTTTTTATTTCAATTTTCTTTATTTCTAGAACATGATTTCCAATTTGGTGTGATAGATTAGAATTATAGTTTAGTCCTTCCACTAACAAGGAGCTTAATGTTAGACATACCACTTAGGCTCTCTACTTCTCTTTTTCTTTATCTATAAAATGAATAAATTAGCCAGATCATTTTTAACATTTTATTGTGGAAAATTTCAAACCTATACAAAATTTAGAAAGTAGTATAATGAACTCCTATGTAAACGTCACCTGGCTTCAAAAATTATTGACTCAAGTCCAGTTTAAAAAAAAACCTATATCCCACATACTCAGGCACATCTGAAGCATATTTTATAGATGACATTATTTGAAGGGAATCGGAATAGTTGCAGAATCACTGCTATATAAGAAGAGTTGGATATAAATTCTCCCTGTAGTTTTATGAATATAATGTGTTTTTTTTTTTTTTTTTTTTTTTTTTGAGACAGAGTCTCGCTCTGTCGCTCAGGCTGGAGTGCAGTGGCCGGATCTCAGCTCACTGCAAGCTCTGCCTCCCGGGTTTACGCCATTCTCCTGCCTCAGCCTCCCGAGTAGCTGGGACTACAGGCGCCCGCCACCTCGCCTGGCTAGTTTTTTTTTTTTGTATTTTTTTAGTAGAGACGGGGTTTCACCATGTTAGCTAGGATGGTCTCGATCTCCTGACCTCGTGATCCGCCCGTCTCAGCCTCCCAAAGTGCTGGGGTTACAGGCTTGAACCACCGCGCCCAGCCATAATGTTTGTTTTGAGAAACAATGTTATAAAGCTAATACTAAGAGACACTCCAACGATTCTGAGGATTCTAAGATATTAAATATTTCCATGCAGGTAGCCCCCAGTTAAAGCCTAACATTTGTAGACTTGGGGAAAATAAGAGTCTTGCTGTCTGCTTTGCTCCATAGTTTATGTTTCATAGTCTGATGGTAGGTATGGGAGCAGAACCATTTGTAAACATCTATTTATATTAACCCCAGACAAAATAGATCTATAATAAAATTTTATACCATTTTACTTGGGTTTCTGCTCTCTGTGAATTCTCCTTCAGATAATTCTCCCAAATTCTTACAAATTTTCACAGCTACAATTATTGCTGTTGCAAACATAACTGCAGATTTTCATGTCTGTCTTTAACTGATGAGCACTGGTTAACTATTGACATTTCCTCTGAATCTCAAATTCAACAATTCCAAAGTGTGACACATATTTTCTCATCCAAAACCAGCTTTACTTTCTCATTTCCTTTTTCTTTTAGTTTTATGTTCAGTTGCTTAAACTTGAAACACTGGAGTGATTCCTTTTACTTTGTTCTTGGTTCCCTATTTCAATTAATAATTAAGGTGTGTTAAGTCTTCTTTAATATTTCTCAAATTCATTCCATAAAGGAGACTATACATAAAACAATTATAATGCTGTGTGACACAGAGAAGGCCTCAGGAAATGTTCATTTCTTTCTCTTTCTCCCTTTCTAGCTGCACTGACACCATTCCTGGCCACTGCCCATATTTCCTGTCTGGATTATCTCCAGAGCATCCAAACTGTTCTCTGCCCTCTTACTGCTATTAACAGTTAATGTTTCCATCTGAAACTGACTGACTGAAAAGTGGAAAAAATACTAGATTTATCATCTCATAGAGTTATTGTGAGGATTGCATAAGATGCTGCATGCAAAGCTTTTAGAATCATACCTGGCGTATCATAAACACTCCAGTAAATACTTGCTATTATTATTACTTAGATATTTCACTATATGGCCTAATTTTATGGTTACAGTCTCTGAAGATTTGCCTTAAAAACTTGACTTTTCAGTCAGCCTTTTCTTATTTTCTTTAAAGGTTCTTTTTCAATAAAATAAAAATCATTAGTTTTACAGAATTTGACAGTAGATACAGGTGGGTAGATGTAAAACTGGTTACAGATATGTGTGTATACATGGGTTAGTATACATGCATATACTTCCTAGTTCTGTCTCCTGAGAGGGGCTGCAAGTAGTGACACCCCAGTAGCAATAAGCACACACCCAGATCTTGATTTCTAAATACCAGATCTTCATTTCTAAATACCATTCTACAAGAGAATCAAAGTTCTTTGGAGAAATGGCTGATTTTAGGGCTGAAGCAAGGAAATGCAAGATGAGGCTAAAGCATCTTGTAGTGTCAGAAGGTAAGAATATGTTCAAGAAACGAAAGAATGGAGGCATGTCAAAGGGAAACAGAAGCCAACCTGATGGAATTTACAATGGCCAAAGGTGGAATAATATGAGTAACGAAACAACAGAATATTGGATTATAATTCAATGTTTTAAAAAATATACATAAGGCCATGCTAATATGCATGCATGCATACATACATACATACATACATACATGCATGAGATTCCTAGAAATCCTCCTCCCTCCAGGCAATATAACTAATCCCCCTCCTACTCCCCAGAGAATGGGCTGGATTTAGGGACTTGCTTTCAGTGAACAGAGTATGATGAGAGGGAAGAAAAGTAACTGTATAATAGAGAAACCTGACAAACATTACCTTAACCAAGTGATGAAAATTAACTTCACCAGTGATAAATCATGTTAATAACGTGTGATGAGACAGGCACTTCACCTATGTTATCCTTCTCTAAAACCTACAATACTAGTCATGAGAAAAACCTCAGACAAGCCTAAATAGAGGGGCATTATGTAAAATACCAAACCAGTGCTCCTTAAAACTGGCAAGATAATGAACAACAAGCAAAGATTGAGAAACTATCACAGACAGGAGGCATGGTGACAAAATGCACTGTGGGTATCCTGGATGGAACTCTGGGACAGAAAAAGAATATTAATGGAAAAACTAATGAAATCCAAATGAAATTTGCAGTTTAGTTAATAGTGATGTACCAATGTTGGTTTTTAGTTGTCGCAAATGTACTATGGTAATATAAAAAGTTAATGGTAAGAGAAACTGGGTCGGGGTATATGGGAGATATCTGTGTTATCTTTGTAACTTTTCTGTAAATCTAAAATTATCCCAAAATAAAAAGGTTATTAAAACCAACTAGCAGGTTTGCCTGCCAAGAGATGAGTTTAAATCTTTTTAAGAATTTTAAAATAGGTGGCATAAATATATAGCAATGGAAGTGTACTTCAACAATTATATGTGTTGTAAAGGAAAAAAAATTGCATATAGCCTACAAATAACCAATTTGTGTGTAAGAGACACTGTTATTTGTAAATACTTTTATTCCCTTAAAAAAAAAAAGAATTGTATTCTTTTCTTAGGTCCTTCCACTGGAAAACCAAATGAAAGAATCAAAGCGTTTCCCTCAAGCGTTGAATATTGGCATGGGGATTGTTACAACTGTGTATGTAACATTAGCTACTTTAGGATATATGTGTTTCCGTGATGAAATCAAAGGCAGCATAACTTTAAATCTTCCCCAAGACATATGGTAGGTGTATATGAATTTGTCAATATTGGTTTATATATTTTATAATGTACCACTTTTGATGATAAAGGCATGTTCTTGGATTTATGGTTTAAACGTTTAAAATTTTTACTGTGATTTCCTGGAATCCCATCCCTTTGGGAGGCAGAGGTGGGTGGATCATCTGAGGTCAGGAGTTTGAGACCAGCCTGGCCAACATGGTGAAACCCCGTCTGTACTAAAAATACAAAAATTAGCTGGGCATGGTGGCAGGTGCTTATAATCCCAGCTACTCAGGAGGCTGAGGCAGGAGAATCGCTTGAACCCGGGAGGCGGAGGTTGCAGTGAGCCGAGATCGCGACATTGCAATCCAGCCTGGGTGACAAGAGCAAAATTCTGTCTCAAAAAAAAAAAAAAAAAAATTACTGTGATTTATTTATTTGTGCAATCTGGAATTTTTTCATACTCTTCGGAGGAGAGTAAATATGAATTTAGGGTTCTTCTGGGATTTTTTAAACAAATGTTTAAAATTGGAGGTTATTCCAAATCCAAGTCAAGTATAAGAGTAGAACTGGGATTATTTTCATATGGACACATTTTAATAAAAAAATTAATACCTGTCCTTATTGCCAAAAAAATCCAAACAATCAGGGTTCCTGATAGAATAATAGATTACATCATACTTGCTATTTTGGTCAGCTTCATAGTGTGTATTGTCCAACTCCTTTCAGAACACAGTTGGGACACATTATAAATAATAAAACAAAATGGTACATCATCTCAATGTTCTCTTTAGTATTGGGACCATATCCTGCTAAATGAAGCATTATATGTATATGATTTTTCCTTTTTCCAGAGGTTTGTCTTTGAAAAATTTTCAAAGATAGTGGCAGTGATTACCATGCAGACTTAATTCCTTGTTTACAAGATGGAAGGTAACTCCTTAGTTTTCACATCTGCAAAGAATAAATTCAGAATTGCTGACTGAATTATTGTCACATTACTACATTAGCCACTTGGATAAAAAAAGTCTGTGTAATCTTAAATGTCTTAAAATATTAGTGAAAAAGCAACAACAGCAGGAATTATATCTTCTGACTGGCCTCCTGGTGAGAATTTGTCTGTCATTTAGTAGTCATTTGAATCCTGGGCATTGGAGTCAAAAATGTTGCTAGGACAAATGTTTGTAGGAAGCCATTTATGATAGAGCAAATGTACCTGGGATAGTTTCCAGATTGCACAAGGGGCACACATGTGATGTGTCTGTATTTTTTATTACAATTTTACTTTAACATAAATGTATTTCAAGATGGAAACATGTTTCAAATGTTATAAATATATTTCAAGGTAGAGTCATAATTACAAATAAGATATATGGTTATTTAGCATTTATTTTATTAACTCTTTATAGTTAACTATATAATTTTGTTCCCTTTAAATGTGTTTTTTGGTTTCTTTTTTATAATATGAAACTAGAAGCTTAATGAACTAGAAGCCTAACAGCTTAGTATAAGAGAATCAAGCTAAAAAATATGGTAATAAGTTCATCTTTTCAAATACCATACAATGTTTGGAAAATAGAATGATTTTTTTTTTCCTTATTTAGAGTAATATTTTGAGCCAGGTGTGGTGGCTTATGTCTGGAATCCCAGTGCTTTGGGAGGAAAAGGTGGGAGGATCACTTGAGGCCAGAAGTTTCAGACTAGCGTGCATAACATAGTGAAACTCCAACTCTACACAAAATTTAAAAATTAGCCATGCATGGTGGCCCAAGCCTGTAATCGCAGCAATTTGGGAGGCTGATGTGGGAGGATCGCTTGAGCCCGGGAGGTTGATTATCCAGTGAGCTGTGATGGTACCATTGCGCTCCAGCCTGGGAAACAGAGACATTTTGTCTCAATAATATTAATAATAACAATAATAATATTTTGACTAAGTCTTAAAAATAATCATTTTAGAAATAAATTTGACAACTATTTTTAATGTCAAATATAAAATGTACATGGAAGTAATGTCAGAATTCTTTCCTGGTCTTATTTACAAAAGCATGTAAGAATATTTTAGGGGGGAAGGTTCTGAAGTGGGAGTGTGCACACATTCACATTGAAAGGTTTGTATTCCCAGGCACATAAGAATGTGGTGCAGAAATAGTGGGCAAGAATAAGACAGGATGCTTTTGGTATTCACAACTCAATCTTGGAGGGTGACACTGTCCCTGCAGTAGCTCAGATTAATCCTTCCCTTTTCCCACAGCCCCTTTGTACATCTGACCTTATTTCTAATTGCTGTGACTTTCCAATTAGAATGGAACTAGTTGAGACTCTTTATTTAAAAGGGACCATTAGATCATAGTTTCTATTCAAGGACGTCTAGCTAGATACCACTTTTCATTAGAGGAAACCCTAGTACAAGTATCCTAAGAAACAACAAAAATCTGGAAAAAACAGGAAAACCAGTCAAGATAAATATTTCCCTTTAGAGAACTTGCATTGGTTGATGTCTTTGCACTGTGGAGATATGACTTATGCAGCCTATAGTCTGTTTCTGTGTGGACTCTGCCATTGTGGGACAATTAAAATGATAGTCACAACTGAGGGATACAAGAGAAGAGTTGCTTGTCTTTTTACAGTCATGGCATTTGATAAAGTGAGAAGTTTGGACTAGAATAATTAAGGGATTATATCTAATATTTCTTCCTTAATATACTATATATGAGTCTCTCTTTCACTTCTTTCCTGCGCTTCACATGAGAGGCTTCGGAAGTTAGAGATTGTGCAATGTACTCTATTGGCGAGTATGAAAGCCAATGACTGTTATAAGAGTATCCTAGAGAACTAATGGTTACTAGCTATGAAAAGCTATAAAGGGCTTTTGGTACAAATTGACAAAATCTCAGAGTATATTATGGTTATTTCTGCAAGAAAAGATTGAATTTGAAAGAGGCCATAGGATAAAGCAAGTATGGATTAGAGAAGCTCCAAGTTATTATTACCCTTAATTTTTGTGAGCTGTCGTCTTTGAAAATTAGTTATGAGCAATACTGTACATGTATTGCATTTAGCTTTTGAAGGAAAGAATGTATTTTAAAGGTTTTACTAGTTCAAGGCATTCAATCTAGTGATGAATGCTACATAACCATAGTTGTCTTATTTTTTAGCCTAGAATGAGATGAGGCTCTTGGCAAGGATTGCAGATAGTTCTCAATTAAGATGACTTCTTGACAGAGCTAAATTCTCAAAATTCTCAACCTGAGCATCATGAAGGATCCAAGAGGGAAAGTGACTTACCAGGTTATTTCCAAGGGTAGCTTCTGTATTCAACCTTGAGAGACAGAGAAGCAGTCAACAACTCATTTCCCAAGTTGGTTTTTAAAAAATTTAAAGTTATTCATACCTGAAGATTGACTTATTAGCCACTGTGGGGAAAAGAGTAAAAGCATTATTAATTTTGATAAGCTATGTTTTCAAAACTGATATTTTCACTAGAACATTAAGTTGTTTTCTCCCTATAATCTGATTCAATATATTGGCTGAAAAATAATTATTAAAAATACATTTCTGTCCTTTACTAAGGTATTAAATTCTTTATTATCATTATAATAGATTTTGTTTCCAAGCATAAATAATTTTATTCTTTGAAGTGCTATTAATATTTGTCATGTTGAATGGTTGTAGTTTCTAAGAATTACCTATCCATAACCATTTTGATAATTAATATTTAATAAGTATCAATCACCTATTAATACTAAGTGCATTGAAGGGATATACAGAGAAGAATGAAACAGTCTGTAACTCTCAGGAGCTTTGGCAGCGAGGAGTTTGAAAAGACCATTTAATGTACACTAAGTGTTGTTTAAAGTTGTTTGATGTTTTTTATACCCTCAAAACAAATTCCTGTGACTTTAAGAAAGGTTAGTTTTCTTTAGAAAGAGGGTTTACTGGGTAGATTTTTCCTTTCAACTTTCTTCATTTCTAAAACGTAATACAAAAGAAGCCAAATAGTTGCTGCTTAAAACCCAAATGAAGAAAAGGTTGTGATAATATCTATACAAAAGTTAAGTAGAGAAAAATAGTTTAGAGTGATTGAAAATATAGATTCCAAACATAGAAATAAGTGGGTTCTTGAAACAGAAAAGTAGTAGGGGTGAAACAGTTCATATTAAACTGTGGTACTTTTTAAAGATGCCGTCTTATTTCTATATAGCTATTCTTTGGTTCATTAGTAGATATACCAACTTCTAAAAGATCCACACCATTTTATTTCCCATTTTTACTCTTTGTAACACCAAATAGTAATATTTGCATATAATTAATGATATTAATAATAACCAGATTCTTAGCTGATGTAACTTTATTTTGTCAGTAAAAAAGTAATAGTACTTATATGCAAAATGATGTATTTTTATTTTAAAAAATACTAAATATATTATTAATCACATTTTAAAAACATATAAGTGAAAAGACAATTAAGAAAAAGGAATGTCCTTTTGTTAAACTAATAAACTAACAAGAATATCTGTTTAATTATCCACAGTTACATATCAGAGTATAGGAAACACAAGTCTTTCAGTTATGTTGTATATATTCAGTAACTTGACCATTTGTGTTTAGCCTTTAAGCCTCAAGCTGAGAAATACATCCTTAGCTAATTTTTAAAATTAAGTTTTAAATGTTGTTAGCTCTATGGAGTTCCTTCCTTCCTAATGATGCTGTGTATTCTCAAATCTATTTTTACTAAGCTTTTAAATTTCTTCTTATTCTTGTATGATAAATATGTTATAGCAGAATACTTATTGAATCTCTTCTTGCTTGGCCATAGTTTAGAGACTGTTTATAATCCTTACTACTCTCACCACTCCAATTCAACATAGTATTGGAAGTCTTGGCCAGAGCAATCAGGCAAGAGAAAGAAACAAAGGGCATCCAAATAGGAAGAACTGCAAGATCTGCAAACTATCCCTGTTTTCAGATGACGTGATCCCATATCTAGAAAACCCCTAGTAAACCCAAAGGCTTCTGAAGCTGATAAGCAACTTCAGCAAAGTCTCAAGCTACAAAATCAGTGTGCAAAAAAGTCAACATTTCTATACGCCAATAACAGTCAAGCTGAGAGTCAAATCTTTATGTGGCAATTGTGAATGGCATTGTGTTGCCCCAATTCACAAGTGTCACATAAAGAATAAAATACCTAGGGATACAGCTAACCAGGGAGGTGAAAGTTCTCTTCAACAAGAATTACAAAACACTGCTCAGAGAAATCAGAGACGACACAAACAAATGGAACAACATTCCATGCTCACGGATAGAAAGAATCAATATCAAAATGGCCACACTGCCCAAAGCAATTTATAGATCTAATGCTATTCCTATTAAACTGCCATTGACATTCTTCATAGAACTAGAAAAAACTATTTTAAAATTCATGTGGAACCAAAAATGAGCCTGAAGGGTCAAGGCAATCCTCAGCAAAAAGAACAAAGCTGGAGGCATCACACTGCCCAACTCTAAACTATATGACAGGGCTGCAGTAGCTGAAACAGCATTGTACTGGTACAAAAACAGACACATAGACACATAGACCAATGGAACAGAATAGAGAGCCCAGAAGTAAGGGCACACACCTGCAAATCTAATCTTCGAAAAACCTGACAAAAACAAGCAATGGGGAAAGGATTCGCTGTTGAATAAATGGTGCTAGGATAACTGGCCAGCCATGTGGGATAGACTGAAACTGGACCCCTTCCTTAACACCATATACAAAAAATTAACTCAAGATGGAATAAATGCTTAAATGTAAAATCCCGGACTATAAAAAACCCTAGAAGACAACCTAACCAGTACCATTCTGGACATAGGAATGAGCAAAGATTTTATAATGAAGATACCAAAAGCAATTGCAACAAAAGTGAAAATTGACAAATGGGATCTAATTAAACTAAAGAATTTCTGCACAGCAAAGAAAACTATCGACAGAGTGAACAGACAATCTACAGAACGGAAGAAAATTTTTGCAAACTATGCATTGAACAAAGATCTAATATCAAATATCTAAAGGAACTTCAAGGAATTTATAGGAAAAAAATCTCATTAAAAAGTGGGCAAAGGGTTTGGGAGGCTAAGGTGGGCAGATCACAAGGTTGGGAGTTTGATACCAGCCTGGCCAATATGGTGAAACCCCGTCGCTACTAAAAATACAAAAATTAGACAGGTGTGGTGGCGGGCACCTATAAGTCCCAGCTACGTGGGAGGCTGAGGCAGGAGAATCACTTGAACCAGGGAGTCAGAGGTTGCAGTGAGCTAAGATTGTGCCACTGCACTCCAGCCTGGGCAACACAGTGAGACCCCATCTCAAAAAAAAAAAAAAAAAAGTGGGCAAAGGACATGAACAGACACTTCTCAGAAGAAGACATACGTGCTGCCAACAATCATATGAAAAAAAAAAAACCCTCAGTATTACTGATCATTAGAGAAATGCAAATCAAAACCACAGCATGATACCATCTCACACTAGTCAGAATGGCTATTACTGAAAAGTCAAAAAATAACATGCTAGTGAGGTTATGGAGAAAAAGGAACAACACTTATTATAAACTGTTGGTGGGAGTATAAGTTAGTTCAAGACGTTGTGGAAGACAGTGTGGCGATTGCTCAAAGACCTTAAAACAGAAATACTGTTTGATCCAGTAGTCCCATTACTGGGTTTATACCCAAAGAAATATAAATCGTTCTGTTATAAAGACATATGTGCCTTTTTTCATTGCAGCACAATTCACAATAGCAAAGAAAATGAATCAGCCTAAATGCCTGTCAGTGATAAAGAAGATGTGGTACATATACATCATGGAATACTATGCAGCCATAAAAAAGAGTTGAGATGATGTTCTTTGTAGGAACATAGATGGAACTAGACGTCATTATCCTTAGCAAACTAACATGGGAACAGAAAACCAAATACTACATATTCTTTCTTATAAGTGGGAGCTAAATGATGAGAACACATGGACACATGGAGGGGAGCAACACACACTAGGGCCTATTGAGGGTGAAGGGTGTGAGGAGGGAGAGGATCAGAAAAAATAACCAGTGGGTACTAGGCTTAATACCTGGGTGGTGAAATAATCTGTACAACAAGCCCCCATGATACAAAATTACCTGTATAACCTGCACATGCACCCTTGAACTTAAAAGTGAAATGTAAAAATCCTTGCTGCTTTAAATCTTAAGACATCAGAAATAAAGCTCCATTAATGTCAACTTTATATACTTATATTTTAAGTACATTTATACTTAAAGCTCCATTAATGTCAAAGTTTATATACCTTGACATTATGTACCAAAAGTAGAATATAATCCTTTTAAAACGATTGCATTTTTTTGTAAGAAAGAAAACACTTCCCTGTGCATGGGAATTTTAGGTGGGAAAGTAGAACTCTTAAATGAGAAAACTGTGGGAAGATGTTTCTGTTGAAAGAGGACGTAGGTGTTAATCACTGCCCCGATGTTGCAGCACACTGAACCAACAGTGTTTTCTCTGCTTTTTACTTAAAAAATGCAGGATGATTGGGCGTTTCTTTTAAACGTTATAAAATGTTAAAAAATTTTTTAAAAATACAGCACGTTAATTTTATTAGTCTGCAACCCAAAAGAGTGGATTCTACGATGTTCCTTCCTCTAGATCCTACAATTCTGTGTTTTCTCTTCATGTCATTATCAACATTTAAAAAGTCTTCTTTTTCTGTGCTTAAGAAAGTTACTGAAGTCTTTATCAGGACATGCATGTGAAGTTTTGACAGGTTATCCACAATGTAGAAATCTAAAGATATTTATAAAACTGAAAATTGCTGTGCTGTTTTGAAGCACTGTATATCAAAGAGATACGTTAATTTGCACAAAAGAATAACAACAACCTTACCCAGCAACTGTATGTCCCTTATTTAATGTAAATTTAAACATAGATTGTGTGTATAATTTAGAGAACTTTGCAAGTTGAAATGGTTTAGATGCCTGCTTTTAGACTTAAGATGGATGACATTTCTGCAACTAATGACATACCTCCGAAGATTTTCACCCAAGAACTACACTTTCGTTTAATGCGAGTTTTTCTTCTATATAAAGATTAATGACAGTATGACTCAGGATTTAAGACATATAGTAGGCTCAATTTTTAAAAAGAAAGTTGAGAAAGCATTAGCTCTTCGGGGGCTGAGTCTAATCTTCAGAATATTGGCTTATCCCAAAATGAAATCTTTTTACCAATATACCCCAAACCCTGGCATGCATATTCAAGCTTTCCATTTTGTCAAAATGAATTGTTCTTGTATCCTCTAGAAATTTAGTTAGAGATCAATTTGCCTTTTTTTTAAACAAGCATTTTTAGTTAGTAAGGTTCTGGCCTAATTTGGTATTCTGGATTTCTTATTTATCTTAATATTAAAAATAAAGGAGGAAAGCTAAATTCACATTAAAAATGACTAAATTTTGAAAATTTTTTTCAACAGGTTATATCAATCAGTGAAAATTCTGTATTCCTTTGGCATTTTTGTGACATATTCAATTCAGTTCTATGTTCCAGCAGAGATCATTATCCCTGGGATCACATCCAAATTTCATACTAAATGGAAGCAAATCTGTGAATTTGGGATAAGATCCTTCTTGGTTAGTATTACTTGTAAGTATCATTATATATTTATATCATAATTTTTTATTGTTGAATTTCTTAAAATGAAAGCTACATAAGACATATTTTTCAATATTTTTAAAACAATTTTATTCACCCAGCTGGGTTACTTTTCAGGTTAAAATTCTGTTTTTCTACTGCTACATAAGAAAAACACAAACCAGATCCTATCACACTTAAAATAACTAATGAAGTTATTTTGAAAATTACATTACTGGTGATTAACATGTACATGGGACTCCTTCCATTTTTGATACACATTTTATTTTGGTTCTAGCTTTCCTCAGGTTTTTTATTCCTGTTTTTGCATATTTTAACAGTTTTCTTATCCGTAACTACCTACAGGAAAGTGTTTAATTTTACTTGTATTGGTCTTTCATAATTTTAGTGGCTTATTTTCTTATTATTTGAAGAAGTGTATATAATCTTTCATTAAGACTCTTTATCATAAAATGCCTTCTCAAGGTAACGTTCATAATAGAGACTCATGGAACGGGAGCTTGAGTTCGGTATAGTGGAAAGAATGTAAGTTTTGGAGTCAGACAGATCTGGGGATTCAAAGTCAAGCCTACCACTTACTTGCTGGTGTCTTCAGGCAAGTTATATGCCATTGTTGAGCCCCTCTTTCCTCAACTATGAAATGAAGATAAAACTTCCTTATGGCATTTTGGTGGTGTTAGAAATAATATTAACAAAGTATTAATAGCTGGAAGTTATTATCATCATTGTAACCATTTCTGTAACGACAAATATACAGATGATTGCATCACCAAACTAAACTAGGATTACCTAAAATGATACCTGGGACCAGATTACTAGTGTTCTGGGGAACAAGCAGCTTTGGAAATTCCTTGTGTAAGATACTAATAAACATCTTGCACTATTTAGAATGATAGAGCTAGAAATTTGAGGCAGCTCAATAAATTGATTTGAGCAGCCTGCCATGGAATTCATGCCTAGATTTAGAGAATTTAGTGTATTACATTTGGGTTGAAAAGGGAAATGCAAAGCTGAAAAAGTAGATAAAATGTATTTTTCAAAGTAATTACTTAAATGAATTATATCACTAATAAGAGAAATCATATTAACAAATGAAGTCAATAAGTCCATATTCTGATGACTAACGAAAAAACATTCAGTAGCAAAAAGATATTTTAAAACATTTTGAAATATTTTTATACATTTATTTTATTGACATTTTGGTAATGACTAAATAAAAAGACTAATTTCAGTAAAAGTGTTTTTATCAACAGATGTAAGGCAATTCTATTCTGAAAGTATATCGTCTTTTAAAGTTGGTAATGGAAATTCAGGTAAAGGAGTTTGAGGGCAATGGTAAAAGGGGTCCAGGATTTTTTTTTTTTAAACTTCAGCCATTTCTGCACATTTGCTGGCATTGTTGTATTGAAGTTATTAATCTGCTGAGGCACAGACCACACCACATCTGCTTCCATGATTTTGTTCCCAGAAGCCAGGGGCTTAGTTCATAGCACAGAGAACTGCAGCCTTTTCTTGGTTGCTGCTTTCTTTTAGTTAAAAGTCATTAAAGCTTCTCATCCATACAAGGCATATGCCTTGGAGAAAGAGAACAAAAACTATGTAATATTTCTTTTTGCTATATTGGGACACATCACTGGACAGTAAACTTCATTTGTGTATTTGGCACACATCCTTCCAAATTAAAGTAAAAGCCAACTGATATTCATGGCAAAACTGCTTTTCATTCTGTTTTCAAAGGCATGTGAAAAGATTTGGGGGCTTGCACTTTACTAACCAATGTGTGTAGACAGTTGATGGGACCTGGTCATGTTTGTAGAGTAGGCTGTGCAGCAGCACTAGCAATGAGAGTGGAGGCTCAGCCTGATTTGCATTGAAAATTGAATGTCTTTCAATGTTCCATAATCCTTTCCGAGTACTGAATCCATGTTTGTTGTATTGGTCTTTAAAGAAGTGGACTTACCAGCTTGGATTATGTTGGTTGTGTCCAAGTATCCATTTAGCATTTGAATCATGATTTCAAAATATCTTCTTCGTGAAACTCAAAAACTTTAGAAATGATTCAGACTCTTCCTGCGTGTTCCCTTTAGGTGCTTACCTGGTATATAGGCACCTCACAAGTGAAGGAGGAGGGAGGGTAGAAACCAGCCAAAGGTCACCATGGACATTTTAGGAGCAAACCTATACTATGAGCCATTCCATTTTTAAATGTATTATAATAAACACTAAGACCAGTGTTTCAATTCTGTGTATGAATTGAATCAACAAAATATACTAAGTACTCTTTACTTCTGTTATTTTCTAACTTGTTGATCCTTCTACTGTTTGTAATTTTTAAAAAGTCCTTGTTTTTATAATCTATAGTAGACTATGACTATATAAGTATCAAAACCCATAAATTTTTAGTAGTTTGCAGAGAAAACTCACTAAAATCCTTCATTTAAGTTAGTTGCCTCTGCAGATTAAAAACGTACCATTCTGTTTCCTGATATCCTGTCTTAGAGTCAGTAGGTATGTGGAGAGCACCATTAACTATTTGTTTAATTAAAATTAATGTGCTAAGTTATTTTCCACATTTTTGTGTTTGGTGCTGTAATATCAAGTGCTTCGTTTTGTTCTCTGATATGTCTGTATTTACCCTTCAGATGCAAATAATAGACTTAAATAGGCTTATATTTTAATATCAGAGGGAACTTTATGCTCTAAGGATACTTTTTCTTGCTGTATATAGTTTTGGTAAAGACTGAATAAGTCTGATTAGTACTTAATAGATCTATTCATAATAGGTGTTAATGACATAGTATTTGTAATGAATAAAACTATCCTTACTTTAAACTCCCCTTTGAGTTTTTATTAATATATGTTGGATTCGGCTAAAAGTATATATACTTGTCTTTTTTGTCTACTAATAACATTACCAATAGCATATTTCAAGCCATTTTTACAAGCAAATATCTTTCAGTTATGTAATGTTTAAAATCTGACTTTAAACAGATTTTAGATGGGAATTATACTTCGTGATTTAAAAGTGTTTGCTAGATGGAAATTTCGTCTATAAATTCTAAAATGCTATAGTATTCCCCCACATAGTTTTCCAACAATATTTCACTGGATTTACTAGGGACAGCTTGGATTATAGATAAACAAATAAAAATGGATTCCAAATTGAAAGCCTCTTCAGGCGGCAAGATAGTGGTAATATTTGTTTGGCCTCACTTTTATACCACTACTTACTATAAGTAGGTGAAACAAACGTGTCTCCACGAATAATTTTGTTCAATGAATTTTGAGAGGCCCTAACTATGTTTGAGAGTTATGCTGTATAATTCCCCAGAGAGCGAAGTTAAAAGGCTATAACAAGCATCTATTAGACGAATAACCTACTTTATAAAGTATTTCTACTTTCGAGTTCTTTAGAGCTAGTTATTTCTACTTCTTTAGAGTCAATTATTTCATTTATAAAGGGTTATGCCACTTCAACCCTGTAGATGTAAAGCTACATTTATAATTTCAAAACAGTTTTTAGGGCTTTAGCTTTCATAATAATTTGAATACAGAATGATAAATAATAACTTCTGGTTATATGAGGAACATGGTGGGAACTTAGTTTGAAATTGATCCCACAACCTCCTGGAAAATGTTGAGAGCCACAGGAAAAATAGAAAAAGGAAAAAATAAAACGTCATAAATTAAAAATTAAGAAGTAGAGAAACCAGTGTACTGCAAACTGAAAGCTAAATTACTAACAGGAGTATATATATATGTCTCCAACACATGCCATAATTGGAGTCCCCAAAGAGGAAATGTGATATAATCTTCATCAGTGGCAGTAGTGATGTAGTTGTCACAGCCTGCATATGAGTAAACACAGCTGTTATTTCTGGTGGCAACTCCAAACCCTCAACAAATCATTTGGACAAATAAGGAAGGAATATGAGTCTTGGTTTTTGCAAATCTTCTGTTGATGCATTTTGAAAAGATCAAGAAAGTACCAGACCAGAACTTGCAGAAAACTTGTCAACAGTTTGGAAATCAGCTGCCAATAGTGGAGAACTTTTTTTTTTTTTTTTTTAAAGAACTTTTCATTTTGAGGTAATTTACACAGAAAGGGTGTAAAAGGAAGTAGTTACCATAAACCTCTAGTCAGCTTCGTCTAACGTTCACAGCTTCCATAATCACAGTACAATTATTAAGACCAAGAAATTAGCATGGATACAATGCTATTAACTACTTTGTAGACCTTGTTGTAATTTTGCCAGTTTTCCCACTAAGATCCTTTTCTGGTCCAGGACATAAGCCATGGTCCCCCTTGAATTTAGCTGTCATATTCATTTGTCTCTTCCAGTCGTGACTGTCCTTGATTTTCTTTGTCTTTCTTAACCTTGACACTTTTGAAATGTCAGTAATTTTGCAGAATTTCTTTCAATTTGAATTTTTCTGATGCTTTCCCATGATTAGGTTGAAGTTAAGCATTTGTAGCAAGAATCCCATGGAAGTGATGCTGTGCACTTCTCAGCGTATCACATCATAGTATCAGTGTCTTATTGGTGATGTTGATTTTGCTTACTTGGTTAAGGTGGTCTCTTGACATATTACTGTAAAGGTACTAGTTTTCCCTTTGTAATTAATAAGTATCTTGAAGATATTTTGAAACTCTGTAACTATCCAGATCGTTTTTGCCCACTAATTTCAGCATTCATCAGTGACTCTTCCTATCCAGTGACTGTTGTGGTATTTGCTGAATGCTTTTCTGTTTCCGTTGGTCCTTCTATTTTGATAAATCGGAATTCTACTTTAAAGAATAGCTAGCTCTTCTCTCTCATTTATTTATGTCCCATCACTGCATGTCTTGTGCATTATTGAGCTGTATGGGCAGACAAAGTAATGCAAATGCTTTGGAAATAAACTATCAAAACCTCTTTGCCCAGAATTTTAAAGCAAAAAATTAAAAGTTCTTTACATAAGAAACTGTTGACAAGTGAAAGTCTAGGAAATGTCGCCTACTTTTAGTATTCAGGTAAGTAACAAACATTTAAATAAGAAAAATAAATGTATTTTCATTTTCTAGGTGCCGGAGCAATTCTTATTCCTCGTTTAGACATTGTGATTTCCTTCGTTGGAGCTGTGAGCAGCAGCACATTGGCTCTAATCCTGCCACCTTTGGTTGAAATTCTTACATTTTCTAAGGAACATTATAATATATGGATGGTCCTGAAAAATATTTCTATAGCATTCATTGGAGTTGTTGGCTTCTTATTAGGTACATATATAACTGTTGAAGAAATTATTTATCCTACTCCCAAAGTTGTAGCTGGCACTCCACAAAGTCCTTTTCTAAATTTGAATTCAACATGCTTAACATCTGGTTTGAAATAGTAAAAGCAGAATCATGAGTCTTCTATTTTTGTCTCATTTCTGAAAATTATCAAGATAACTAGTAAAATACATTGCCATATACTTAAAAATAGTAACAAACTGTTTTCTTTGGCATAGTATTATTTTGGAAGTAATCATAGCTCTTTACCAGTAGTGGTAAACCTATGACAAATCCTTGCTTTTAAGTATTAACAATAGTTTCAAAAAATTAAGTTCTGAAAATTGAAAAAATTAAAATGTAAAAAAATTAAAGAATAAGAATACTTCTATTATTCTTTTGTCTCAGTAAGAAATACCTTAACCAAGATATCTCTTTTGCCTCTCACTTGAGAAGGGAATAGGATTTCAACAATAAGAGAATAAAATAGAATATATGTAACAAAAAGCTCTCTCCAGATCATCCTCGTGAATGCCAAAGTAAACTTTATGTATAATATAAAAAAAAAAAAACTCAATTATGTTTTTAGTACCCAAATACTAATAATTAGCTCCTGGAAGTATAGAAAACTCCCATTTTAACATAATATAAGCATCAGAAAATTGCAAACACTAGAATTAATTTTACATTCTAGTGGTAGTTGATCTTCATAATCAAGAGGCACTGTTCAAGATCATGACTTAGTGTTTCAATGAAATTTGAAAACAGACTTTAAAAGTTATCCAGTGCAACTTCGTTATTTTTCGTCAGAGGAAATGGAGGCCTAGAAAGGTTGAGTAACTTGGTCAAGACCACTCAACCTTGAGATTAAGAGAACCTAATCTTCTGACTCCCAGGCCAGGATGTTTTATTTCCCATATCATGTCCAAGGAAAAGAATAGATTATGTTCAGCTTAATTTTAGTATTGAATCTATTTGATTATATTTTAATACTTTGAAAATGAATTCATGATTTTTAATAGTATAATTGACCTGAGCAGAAAATCAGAGAACTTGAAGAAACCTACACTGTGGCCATATAAACCTCAGCAAGAGAAAGAAGCTGTGTTCTTTTAAAACAGAATAGAGACCACTTGCTAATGAAACTCCTGGCTAGTAAGATGTGTGTCCAGCTATACTATTTGTGGCTTGAGCTTTTTTTATTATTACCTTCCTCTCTTGAGTTTTGTAGGCACCATCTTCCTGAATGGTAGAAAATAGACACCTCAGAAAACAGGATTTGTGGACTCTTTCCAGCCCTGTGGCTTTTCTTATCACAGCCTTTTATTTATTATGAGCAGAATAAAAGAATCAGCTGGGTGTGGTGGTCTGTGCTTAATCCCAGCTATTCTGGAGGATAAGTTGGGAGGATCACTTGAGAGACCAGGAGCTCGAGACCAGCCTGGGCAACATAGTGAGACCTTGACTCTATAAAACATAAAAATTTTAAAAAGCTTGACATGGTGGCATGTACCTGTAGTCCCAGCTACTCAGGAGGCTAAAGCAGGAGGATCCCTTGAGCACAGGAGTTTGAGGGTGTGGTAAGCTATGATTGTGCCACTGCACTCCAGCCTGAGTAACAGAGGGAGATCCCAACTCTTAAAAACTAAAACAAAAAAAATATATACAAGAATCATAGACCATAAAGGGATTCATGCTTAGAAAAAATCAAGATAATAAACCCCCTTCTAAATATTGAAACACTCCACGCTTCTTTCAGACAAATAACTTCTAATTATTCCATATTTTTCAAATTACTAACCAAGATAAAGAATCTCTTGGTGGGGAAAATGAAAATTATTAATAATAGAATTGTCTCCTGACTTAAAAAAAATTCATACTTTAAAATATAAACTGTTTACCCAGGCTGGTGATACTCTAGTTTGTTAGTATACTGTACTTGAAGATATCATCAAGATCACTATAGTTGTATATATTCTCTATTTTTATATGTAAATGTTAACTTAGTTCAAGTATTTTTTGCTTATGTCATTAACTGATCGTCAAATACAATCCTAAAGATATATCAGAAGCTTTATTTTGGTACAAAGTCATAAGAATCAAAACTTTTTTAGCCATTCACATTAGGTATCAACAGTAGTTGTTTGAGATACTTTTATATCAAATCTGTTACACTGAGCCTTTAGTCACACTAAGAGAATGCAGAAGAAGTTATAGGAAAATGAATCTTCACTGAAACTAGTATTATATAATCTTGAATTAGGTGTTTAAAAAACTTTATAGCTTGATATAAAATGAGTTGAAAATTATTTAATAGGAAGCAGCCCTAGGTTTTTGTCACCTGTTTTCAGATAATATTTCTAGTCTGTGTGTATTATTTCATTTTTACACTTTGGCCCATTGTTTATTTTCCTTATGGAATTCATCAGATGCAATGAAATTTGAATAGTTGATCATAGCAATAAATTTTAAATTCAGCACAAACACATCTTGAGCATATTATCGACCAGGCTTCCTTCAGCAATAAGAATGTGGAATCAACATCCAGTACTAAATTCAATAAATGATGAATACTTTAAATACAAGAAAAAGTTGGATTGCAGAAAAGAAGAGGGGCTAAAAAGGAGGAAAGTTTTAATTCTCAACAAGAAACACTATTTAGATGGAAAGCTTAAATCTATTCTTATTAAGGGTATTTGATGATACATTTTATTTGCAAAAATAACCAGTGGGTAATTTTTTCTCTGAAAATTTAGCTTTAAGGAGTCGTAAAATTTCCTAAAGATTTTGGAGACGATATTTCGATTATACCAGCTCTTGCTTTTATTTTGGGAGCCTGGAGAAATTAGAGTGATTGCACCTGTCAAATTTTGTATCTCATCGCTTTTGGATCATCACACTGTGACTAAAATGACTTCAGCATTTTGTCAGCCACCACAGTGAAGAACTATTCCCTGAAAGTTAATCAGTGACCTGAGAGCCTGTTTTTGCTACTGAGGGGGAAGAAAGGAAAGCTTTATTTACCTCTAATTGAGCTCCGTTCCAAGTCAGTTATCACTGTTCCCTTACACCCAAGAGTTTCATCAGTATCGGAGTCAACTTGTCAAAACACTGGTTCTCAGACGTCTTTTTCAGAGGGTCTTCTTTTCCCCACGTGGCCAGATTTCTTTACAATTAAGAAAATAAGAGATACAGCATATTCTTGGTTAAAAACCAGTTTAGATGGTGTTACCAAATGAAAACAAGCCTGTATTAGCAAATGCCACATTATATTTAGTCGTATTCTCACTAAATTCTCCTTGATTAAAATGATTTCTGCATCTTGCCTAGACAATGCGTTTACATATTTACAAGTGTTGTATGTCAATGTGCATGTTTTGAATTTCCTAACAGTGCCTAATCTTAGTAGTTTTACAGTAGTTACATAAAATCTCTTTAACTGCAAAATACTATAAAATATTACTTGAAATATTAAAAGTATTAGTGCCATTTCTAGCTGTGGCAAGGCACAAGTCTTACTATGAGTGACTTATGTCTTCTCGTAGATTTCATTACAGCATCTGAGTAGTGGATCTGTTTACTGACAGCATACACAAATTAGGTCTTGACCTATTTTCTTCATTTAAAAGGGAGAAGATTTGAAATAGAGCTAATGTAAATAATAAATTTATTTAAATAACATCAGTGGCTGAATACCATCTGCTGAGGAATAACTTGGTAAAAATATAGAACATTGATAATATACAATAATGATTTTCTAAAAAATGAGTCTGATCTTTTTGGCTCACCTGGCTTCCCTTAATAAGAAAATTTGAGAAACTTGGATCTGAAAAGTATAGTAGTATACTTCCTAACATTAAATTCCTGGCTGTAATAGTTAATACTTTGGCAGCATTATGGTTAGTCTTGTTTATGCCATTGGCACTTACTAGGCTAAACTTTCTGAAACTGATTGGTTTTGACTTACGAGATAAGGAAACATGCTTAAGAAATGGCTAGAAATGCTATTTATTGCCGTATGATAAGTGAAATAGCAAATCACTCTGATTCTTAAAATTTCATATTAAAATTAGTTCCTACATGCATGTTTGCACAAGTATATGCAGACAACACACAAATCAGTGGTCTGTGTGAACTAGATATGAATACTAATTTGCTGTTCAAATTGGGTCCAGAAAGATGCTGTTTTGAAAAGAACACTCTAAAAATATTTCATTAGAGTTTTCTTGATAACATAAGAAAATACATGTTTACACCCCAAATAAATTCAGCTGTGGGTGGATTTTTGTTTTTCAAAATGATTTTGTTAGTTTGAATGAAACCTAAATATCATTGCACTCAAGTCAATTTTTTAAACATTTTTCTTTATAACAGAATATGAAAAACTCTGTCTTAAAGTATTGTAACTTTTCTGAATTTTCAATAAAATATTTTGGTTGTGGTTGCCTTTTAGATACATTTTTCTTTTATAAGGTTAAATGACATTGATAAGTGTCATAAGCTAAAAATGGCACTAGTATAATCTCATAATAAATAACATTTTAATCGGTCTTTATGGTTAATTCTCGGTTATGCTGGAAGTTGATATTGTGTACTTCTAAGATTTAAGAGCAAAAGTTGATTAAAAATGAAAGAACACACTCAAAACTGTGACCTGAACTTCCTGCAGCATGAATGCAGGATGAGCTGTCTGCAGATGCTGCATTCATGATCTAATTTACTGCTTTTGTAAGGTTAAGAATATGTATCAATCATTTTGTTTGCATTACAAAATTGGCATAATGCTTTTGGAAATTGCTTTCCAAAAGCATTATGCCAATCCTGTAATAAAAGATCATAAAGATATTTATAGTTTCACATTAGTAATCCTGCTCTTGTGAACTTAGCATAAAGACATATCATAGTTCACAGAAGAGAGCTGCTATGCCTAAAGGTGTGTGACAGCATTATGTTTTAATGTGAAAAATTGGAAACAACCTACATGTTCAGCAAGAGGGGGATCATAAATTACAATAACCTAGAACACAATGAAGATTATATTACACCAAATGTATACTGAGGACTGATAATTTGGGAAATTAAAAAATACATAAAATTAAATTTTAATTGCAGCTCTACAAAATATGCTTCTGGGCCAAGACAAGGAGATTTGTGGAAAATGGAACCATAATGTCAGGATAAAGAAATAGGTTTTACTGTTTTTAAATGACTAGTGAAAGGAGGGATGTGAGAGGAATAAGCAGAAATGGTTTTGGGAACAGGACGTTGATAAAGCCTTAGTAGTAGTACATGCTTCTGGCAAGCAACAGAACACAAAGACACGCACACACACACACACGCGCACACACACATTTCAAATTAGATAGGGATAGGACTAGGTGCTTGTAAACTGCAATGAAAAGCCCTGTGGGGTACTTGATGGAGGAAAAAAAATAAAGATGGTTGGTACTATCTGGTAGAACAAGGTACTACTATTATTTAAAAACCAATGCACAACATTTTCCAAAGAAACCTTTATGAATTATTGGAGAAAGCTTTCTTTTGGAAAGGTTGTGCATTGTTTTATTTTAAGTCCTGGGGTACATGTGTAGGATGTGCAGGTTTGTTATATAGGTAAACGTGTGCCATGGTGGTTTGCTGCACCTATCAATGCATCACCTAAGCCCAGCATGCATTAGCTATTTTTCCTAATGCTCTCCCTCCTCCCACCCCACCCCCAAACAGGCCCCAGTGTGTGTTGTTCCCCTCCCTGTGTCCATGTGTTCTTATTGTTCAGCTCCCACTTATAAGTGAGACCATGCAGTGTTTGGTTTTGTGTCCCCTTCGTTAGTTTGCTGAGGATAATGGCTTCCAGCTCCATCCATGTCCCTATGAAGGCTATGATCTTGTTCCTTTTTATGGCTGCATAGTATTCCATGGTGGCGTTCCTTTTTATGGTTTCATAGTATTCCATGGTGTATATGTACCACGTTTTCTTTAGTCTATCATTGATTGGCAGTTGCGTTGATTCCAGGTCTTTGCTATTGTGAAGCATGCTGCACTGAACATACTCATGCATGTATCTCTGTAATGCAGTGATTTATATTCTTTTGAGTATTTACCCAGTAATGGGATTGCTGGGTCAGATGGTATTTCTGGTTCTAGATCTTTGAGGAATTGCACACTGTCTTCCACAATAGTTGAACTAATTTACATTCCCACCAACAGTGTAAAGGCATTTCTACTTCTGTGCAACCTCGCCAGTATCTCTTATTTCTTGACTTTTTAATAATTGCCATTCTGACTGGCATAAGATGGTATCTCATTTAGGTTTTTTTTGTTTTTTTTTTTTTTGAGACGGAGTCTCGCTCTGCTGCCCAGGCTGGAGTGCAGTGGCGCATTCTTGGCTGGCTGCAAGCTCTGCCTCCCGGGTTCACGCCATTCTCTTGCCTCAGCCTCCTGAGTAGCTGGGACTACAGGGGCCTGCCATCATGCCCGGCTAATTTTTTGTATTTTTAGTAGAGACAGGGCTTGACCATGTTAGCCTGGATGGTCTCGATCTCCTGACCTCGTGATCCGCCCGCCTCGGCCTCCCAAAGTGCTGGGATTACAGGCGTGAGCCACCGCGCCCGGCCTCTCATTTAGGTTTTGATTCGCATTTCTTTAATGATCGGTGATGATGAGGTTTTTTTCCATATATTTGTTGGCCACATAAATGTCTTCTTTTGAGAAGTGTCTGTTCATATCCTTTGCCCACTTTTTAATATGGTTGTTTTTTTCTTTTAGATTTCTTTAAGTTCCTTGTAGATTTTGGATATTAGTCCTTTGTCAGATGGATAGATTGCAAAAATTTTCTCCCACTCTGTAGGTTGCCTGTTCACTCTGATGCTAGTTTCTTTTGCTGTGCATAAGCTCTTTAGTTTAATTAGATACCATTTGTCATTTTTTGCTTTTGCTGCAATTGCTTTTGGTGATTTTGTCATGAAATCTTTGCCAGTGCCTATGTCCTGACTAGTATTGCCTAGATTTTCTTCTAGGGTTTTTATAGTTTTGGGTGTTACATTTAAGTCTTTAATCCATCTTGAGTTAATTTTTGTATATGGTGTAAGGAAGGGGTTCACTTTCAGTTTTCTGCATATGGCTAGCCAGTTCTCCCAGTACCATTTATTGAATAGGGAGTCCTTTCCCCATTGCTTGTTTTGTCAGGTTTGTCAAAGATCAGATGGTTGTAGATGTGTGGTGTTGTTTCTGTGTTCTCTATTCTGTTCCATTGGTTTATGTGTCTGTTGTGCATTGGTTTTTAAAGAACAGATTTGGTTTCAAGTTTCTCTGTAAAGGTAGATTTGTTTGATGGCTTAAAATGTGAGGGAATTGGGACTTTTGGTCATCAGTTTTCTGGTGCCATGAAGCATGGGACTAGCAGGTATTAATGATAGAAACTAAAGCTAATATGTCAGCCTTGCCGAGGAGTTATGAAATAGTTTTGTTATTCTGCATGCTGGATCTCTGTGTGAAAGGACAGGGACTGGCCACCAAATGCCCAACCTGCACTGAAGGGAGAGGAAGGGCGTGCTGGGTGTGGATCAAGGGAGAGCAGGTCTAGAGTCGAATAAGAAAGTAAAGTAAACCAAAAAGAAAAAAAGAGGTGGGTGGGCAGTGCAGAAGTGAGCACCTCAGATCATGGACCTGTAGTGTCTTCTTTTCTTTGTAGCTCCCACACCCAGCAGTACCCCACAAGAGCACAGAATAGGTGCTTGAAAATCTGATCTTGTCACTTTCTTAAATCTACTGTCTTCTCCAGTCTTGGTTGTACAAAGACCGAACTCTTTAATGTGGTACCAAAGCTGGCCTCACTCCCTGCCTCACCCCAAAAGTTGCAGCAACACCAAATTGCTGCCAGCACCACAAGCACACCACACACACAGTTTCATCTGCATGACTCTAGAAGCTTCTCATACTAAAATGATTTCCTTCTCCCTCCCTGGTCAATTCTTTCTTAAGATTCAGTTTAGGAGGCTCTTCTACTAGGAAGCCTTCACATACATCCTTACCTGTACCTAGAGTGAGTTATATATTCCTTCATTTTTTCGTTTCTTCTCTGCCCTCCCCTAGACACTATGAGCTTCATGAGCGAGGTAGTTTGATCAATTATGTTCAATTCTGAAAATACAGTGCTAGAAGAATGTCAGGCACATAGCAGACACTCAAAAAATTTTGTTGAACGAATGAATGAATGGACAGAAAAGCCCCTATTAGAGCTTTGGTACTTAAAATCTTCAAGTGCAGGGGCAAAACCATGCTTTCTGTGCTGTCTGTCCTCTACCCCTATACCTTTTTGCTGAATGAATGTGACCAACCTTTTCCACTTTGTTCAGCAGGCTACAATACTGTAAAGCAAAGACATCCATGTCTGAGTGTCTTACAGAAAATCGTATGAATCAGACAAAAAAGCATATTTACAAGTAATGTATGTGAAGTCTGTAAGAAGGAAAAAATTTAAAACCCTCACAGCCCTTTCCGTTTCTGTGTTTTACATGAGCAGATTAAATTTTGGAAATAAATCAGTTATACTTTCTACCCATTGTTTGTAAAATTAGATGTAACCTGGACTGCAAGTGATCCTTTTCTAAGAAGA